CACACATATATACAGGAAGTGCACACATATATACAGGAAGTGCACACAGGTATACAGGAAGTACACACAGATACACAGGAAGTACACACATATATACAGCAATAAACAGGAAGTACACACATATAAACAGGAATACACACAGATATACAGGAAGTATACACAGATATATAGGAAGTACACACAGATATACAGGAAGTACACACATGAAGCCCAGTCTCAAGAATCTGCCACGAGCCGTGTGTGCAGCTTGTTTTTATCCTCTCATCAGTTCAGCCGAGCTCACAGACTCGGAGGTGACCTCGAGCGACAGCTGCGTGCAGCAGCTTCGCCCGACTCCTCATTCATCTTTCTACTAACCCAAACATATGGTTCATGGGCAGAGTTAACATTCTCAGCCATAGTGGTTAAAGATGTAAACTTTGACCACAAATTCCCAAGCAACAGTGTTTTATGTACAAAAAATAAAAGTAAAAACCCACTGAGAATTATTGAGGGTACCTGAAGTAGAAACACAGTTTGAAACAGAAGATATTTATATAGCAAGTTATTTAAAAAATACAGTTTATCCCCTAAGAATGCATTTTCTTTAATTGATTACCGATTTCCAATCAAACTACCAGAATTAGACCAAAAGGACCCAAAATCCACTCAGTGTTTTCCCAGTTATGGTTAAACTGTTTTTTTTTTTTTTTTTTTTTTTTGGAAACACCTGATTTATTCTCGTCAGTTGTTCAACTCGTTCTTTCTCTTATCCTTTGCGTTCAGCAGCACATTCCCTCTTATATTTCCATCAAAATGTTTTTTCTTCTTCTGGGACTGTACTTTTGTTCAGGTCCAACATGTTTGTTCACCGACACAAACCTCTGCCAGCCTAACGTAGGCGACTCACGTCACTCAAGCTTCCACGGAGTTTTGAAGGATTCACTGAAGTACTTTGTTTACATCCAGTGCGTACCCACATTTTAAAGTTGCTCATCAACAAATTGTATCACAAAATCTACTGGAACGGCCACTTCAGTCTGTACCATTTTAAATTCAGGATAATCAGAATTATTTATCTCATGCTTCATGTTTTTTTCATTTGTTCATTGTCAGTTATTTTAATATGCTAAACTATTGCTAGAAGTAGAAATATGCATTTTCCCACCAGTTTCTATTTTATAATTCAACCTGTGTGTCAAATGCCAAAGCCATCCCCCCACCCCCACCCCTTCATACAGCGTCACACTGTTACCTTTGTATGTGTGCAGGACTCAATGGATACGATAATCCATTGCTCTCCCACCTCAGTCATCCACTACCTTCGTCTCTCCATCCTCACAACAGCTTTCATTCCATCATCACTCCAAATCCTCATGGAAGCCTCCGTTCTAAATTAGACCCATCCAGCAGGTCAGTCAACACCCAGGTTTGTGTGGTAGCATGCCTGTGTCATTTTAGCCATGTGTTGATGTGTCCATCGGAACTTTTATGTGAAAATGTGAGCACTTACTGACACTTTGGTTTCATCTGGAGGTTCAATTCAATTCAGTTCAGTTTATTTATACAGCGCCAAGTCACAACAGAAGTCATCTCAGGGCACTGAGCAGAAAGGTTGTGAACATACATAAAAGTAGGGGTTAATGCATAGGCATCACGACAATTATATGTGTAGGGGACGTGCCCCCCCATTTAAAAATATTCATTCGGACCTCCACATTTACCATGAAATATTAGTTCACCAAGCGCTGTTTCTATTTCTTATTGACCAAATCCATTCCACTTGATTAACAGAATACTCAAACCACTTAAAGTCCACTCCGGGTTTTCCTGATTACCTACAACAACTCCACCCTGCATGCAATGTTACCCTGAGGTCATCCGCCTTGCAGGACGCTCACGGGGGAGGAGGGGGAGACACCTCTGTTTTGTGCGCTAGCTAAGCGCCACGTTAGTGCTGGCAGTTGTTGATGGAGGTGGGGGTTAGGATGTGTGAGCGCTACGTCTGTAGCATCTTAGCTAATGCGTCTGTATTGCATGCTGCTCGCTTAGCGCTACGTTAGTTCCAGCAGTTTTTGACACGCGGGGGTTGGGGGGTGGGGTCTAGGATGCTTGAGAGAAGCAGAGTGCTCTCCTCACACAAGGAGAGCTGGTTGCTCTCTAAAATAGTTACTGAATCAAATGTTTACATAAGTAGGTGAACGCGGATGTTTAACAGCTCGTTAAAATACACCAGAACACAGGAAATGGCATCTACTTTATTCAATATCTTCTGGGAGAGGACCCCCCTTCATCCTCCTTCGTTTCCTCAGTCAGAGCTCAGTTCTTCTGTCCTACAGGTCATCATGGCATTTCTGTTTCAACAACTAGTCCTTTTCTTTTATCATGAAAGCTGAGTCGGCCCTGTCGTTTTTCTGGCAAACGTTTTATTTTGTCTATAACTTTTACAACTTCTTGGTCTGCTGCCTTCATACATCTCCTCCTACATGTCTCTGTGTGAGTGCAGCTACAGCGTGCGCTCTCAGGACTTTATTACCTGCAGTGTTCCCTCAGTGAGGACTGAACTAGACAAAAGGACCTTCTCCTACTCCGCTCCTGTTTCCTGGAATATCTTGTAAAAAGAGCTGAAGCTCTCGACCTTTGACCTCTCTAAGTGGCTTCAAACATCTGTTAAGCTGATAGGAAAAACCAATGCAGACATGTTCCTGTTTTTAGTTTTCTACATCGCCTTATAATCTAGCCGTTGTTTGTTACATTTTAATAACGTTTTATTTTCACTTGTTATTCTCAATTTGTGTGCATCCTTTATGATTGTCCATTGTTGTCATCTTTCTTTGTTGAAATCAGGTCTCTCTTGTAAATGAGTCCCCGAGGCTCAATGGGATTAACCTGTAGAAATAAAGGTTGAATGAATGAATTGAATGACATTTAAAATAACTTATTTTCACTTTACAATGATGCTCCTATTAGCAGAAAATAAGTGAGGAGACGAGAAAAAACATTCCAAGTCCTTCATTTAGGTTTAATTATCCTTCAACGATGGCTGTAATTACTCTGTTTCACTGCCGCCTCTGTTCTGGGAAATCTTTAATCTGTGATCATGTAAGCTATTAGAGATATAAATTGTTTAAATTTACTTTCTCATTAGAGATGGTCTCCGATCAAAATGGGTTAAAAAAAAAAAATCAATTGTAAATCCTGATTCCTAGAAACTGTAGACATTAAAGAAAATGAGGTTTATTTGAACAAAAGGGTTTGCACTGAAGACCAAACATGATTTATATTTCCCTCACTTTGGGTCAATCACTTGTTTCTAAGTGCATTAAAGACGGATTATTTATTATCCATAACTTAGAAAAGATGCATCGACCTTCGTTTCACTTTCCTGACTGAAAGGTTGCTTGCTCTCCCCCTCCATGCAGGTATCCTCTCCGTGCTCTCCTTGTCTTCTGAGTGCACCTCCTTAGCGTCTGAGCTGCCCAAAGTGTCCTACGTCAAGGCCATTGATATCTGGCTTATCGCTTGCCTGCTGTTTGGTTTCGCTTCGCTGGTGGAGTACGCTGTGGTTCAAGTGATGCTGAACAGCCCGAAGCACATCGAGGCAGAAAAGGCCAGGATAGCATCCAAGGAGAAAGTTGCAGGAAAGATCCCCGCTGCCAGGAGCACCACCAACAACGGGACTGGAGGAACCCCGCTTCACGTCAGCACCTTGCATGTCAGTGAACTTTATCTGATGGAGTGTGTGTCAGTGTGTGTATGTGTGTCTTTATGCTTGAAATATATATATATATATTTTATCTTTGGTAATAATTTATATATATATGAAATTATGATGTAAACAATTTGGTCTGTGAGGACACTGATGGGCAATTTTTAAGTTCATTTTCAGTCAGGTCTTACTAAATAACATGATTCTGCTTTAAAGTGTTGAACCCACGTGCAGGGAGACAACGGAGACTCCAAGATAAAAATGAGTAATGACATTTATTTTACAAAACAAACTGCTGACATGGGCCAAAACATACATTTAAGACAGAGGAGCAGAAACATGAAGCCTTGGGAGGACAATGCCCGGACACAGGAAGAATGAAAAGACGCAGACTTTATAAAGAAAAGCTGACGAGACAGAATGAGAAGCACCTGGGGTGATTAGACGAACAGACCGGTGTGACAGGAGAAACATCTACTTGTTAAAATGTATTTAGTGTTTCTAAATGTCTCATTCTAAAGGTTACTCACAGAGAGCGTAGAGCAAACAGCTGCAGCAGATCAAAACAGACATGAACTTCAGTGAAGCCAGTGTTTCATTACAAAACTTTAACCATTGATATAGCAAGCTACCAGCTAACCTAGCATGGCCGCAGTCAGAGCTCCAGTCCTTTGCATGTGATTTTGTGCAAAGCGTCAAAGCTTTGTCGATTACAATCAATAAAATACCCAAATCCATATTTCAGATCCAGCACCTGCTGGCCGTCTGTCTGAGATCAAATCTAAATGCAAAACAGGAGGATCAAGTCATCCAAGATATTGCTCGTAACACAAACAGCGCTCTGCAACGTACGGCTCTAAATTCAACAGCTGTATTTCAATTTAACACCAGATTGAAATCAATTTATATCTGAGTTTGATTCTCCAAAAACCCATTTGGTTTGAGAGGTTGACATTATCATGTTGTCCAAATCAACGAAGCTTAAATGATCTCAATTACTGCACTTGGTAAGTCTGATTGGAACCTGTCCATCCAACGTTTTTTTTTTTTTTACCGTAACCCAAGCAGCCTCAGTCTGTGTGATGTTTGGATATGTGATGGCGTTTGGAGGAAGTTACAAGCCTCGTTTGAACGAAACAACAACCAAATTGTTACGGACAAAGAAAACTTTATTTAGGCTTCAGAGATCTTTGTTTTCACTTCGTGATTTATGAAATCTGTCCAAACTTCAACATTCAACGGTTCATTTATTGCATATCCAAAAGAAAGGCTATAGAAAATGTGCAGACTGTTTTAAGGAGGTTGTTTCATTCATTCAACCTTTATTTAACTATAACTTTAAGTTGAACATTTAGCCTTACCTGTTGAATTAATAGGAATGAAACCAAAAACATGCATGTTAGCCGTCTTCAGGTCCAGACCTCCCTTGCAAAAGAAATCTGTGATCTCAATGGGATTTGCCTGGTTACATAAAGATCAATACAAATAGGAATTAAACAGTATGTTGTTGGTAAACAACTCATAAACAACAAACAAACAAACAAAAAATTAGGTCTGCTTCAGTCCACTTGTTGAAATCATTTTGCTCATTTATTTTATTTTTTGTAATCACTGGAAAAAAAACCATCTTTTTAGTTCCATGCATCTCGTAGTGACTACAAATATCTGTGGTCAAGAAGAAGATCTGCGTCTGCGCTGGTGAAGTTCGAATCTCCACAAGCTCTTTGACATGTTTTGTTGAATGTTGGGGTTTTAGATGATTCTTAAGCTGTCAACCAAAAAATACAATCTGTCCTAACAAAGAGAGCTGTGTCAAACTGTGCACGTGTCGATGTCTTTAATTATCCAACAGGAACTTTCTGGATGTGTGGATGAATCTGTGACCCCATGGACCAAAAGTAATGTGGTAGTTTTCACAGTTTGTTTAAACGTTACACTTTAGAAGTAGCTTATACACTGAGGGTAGAAATTGAGGGGAGTGGTGGTGCAGAGGTTAGAGAAGGTGGGCCTGTGATCAGAAGGTTGCCAGTTCAACTCCCGGTAGCGATAGCATCAAAGTGTGGATTGGTGAAGCACCCACATCTGTCTGCACCCTCATTTACTCCACTCTGGGCCCTTGAGCAAGGCCCTTAACCCCCAGCATCTGTTACCCCGGGCACCCGAGACGTCTGCTCCCTGCTCCCCATGGAGGGCTGAGGTAGCTCGGCGGTCTGTGATTGTGTCAGGAAGGACTTCCGGTGTTTAAAACAATCGCCCAGTCTTTGTGCGACTTAGTTCTCTGTGGCGACGCCTGAAGGAGGAGCAGCCGAAATGATTAACAATTTACAACAGGTGAACAAACGGGGACATGCTGACTAGTGCATGAGCTTTGTCAAACTACTTCATGAAACTTCTGCACATGAGTAAAACTGGATGAAAGATTAAAGACAGACGTGAAACTTGTGCAGGTGCGCAGTTTTCTGCAAGATGCAGGTGAGTAGAAGTGACAGGAGATGCTGAAGGAGCAGGGAGTGACAGATTGTGTCTGTGAGCGGAGGTTAATGAGCAGCATGAGTTCATCTCTACGTGCAGATAAGTTCATCTCTGCTGGACTCAACTTTCCATCTCGCAGTGATTAATAGTGTAGGAGGCGTGGGTTCTGGTCCCCAACTACTGCCTCAGTGGCTACAGTCAAAATATTCATCTGACTTCAGTCTTTCATTAAGATAAATGGATCGTGCAGTCTGATGATGATGATGATGATGATGTGTTTGTTCTGTTTCTGGTGAACAGGTGGGAGAGACCCGCTGCAAAAAGGTGTGCACGTCCAAATCCGATCTGAGGACCAACGACTTCAGCATCGTGGGATCTCTCCCGCGGGACTTTGAGCTGTCCAACTTTGACTGCTACGGGAAGCCCATCGAGACCGGCTCTGGTTTTAGCAAATCTCAGGCAAAGAACAAGAAACCACCTCCTCCGAAACCGGTCATCCCCTCCGCTGCCAAAAGGGTTGACCTGTATTCCAGAGCCCTCTTCCCGTTCTCCTTCCTCTTCTTCAATGTGATTTATTGGTCCATTTACTTGTGATTATCTTGTATTATTTCCCCCTGAGCCCATGTCCCCTGGTTCTTTGTTACAAACTTCAGTTTGAGGAGATGTGAACCTTACCCTGCAGAATAACTGCTGAGAAGAAAGTAAAAGTCCTTTGTGTTGTTGCATTAATCCCTGTATGAACAAAGAATCTGTTTGTAAAAAAAATATTTCCTATTTTTTTCTCAGATGTTTATATCATATTCTAAATATGTTACTGATCTGAAGCTGTTATTGGGAGAGAAATGTAAAATGATAAATGGAACTGTTGTGGTGAATAATGGAAACCAGTCCACGCAGACTGAGTGTGGAAGAACAGAAGAACGTTTGCTTACAGCTCTTTTCTTCTTACGACCTCACCCAGTGGGTGTTTGCTCACAAGTTTAAGAAGTTTTAAATTGAAGTTTCAGTGCCATGCCAAGTACACTTTATTTATCGTGCATGTTAAATTTACTGCATGTGTTTGAAGGTTAAAATAAAAATATCTAAATATTTGTTTATGAGCTGTTACTAAACTTATGATTTGCTCTTGAGACAAACTAAGTGAAATGTGAAACGGTCCAGTTTCTGTCCAGACGGTCACACTGCCACTTCTCCTCTGACATGTCCTGCCGGGTCACTTCTGAGCGGTGCACATGTATTTATGAAATTTACAATAAGAATAAAGATCAAATGACTTTTCACCATTTGATGTTGTTAAAAATAAACACACCGATTTGAGTCAAGTTGTCATGTTTTTATTTTTGTGTGCGGCTTTGTGTTTTTTAATTTACTTTTTATTTTCAACGTGCAGATTCATGTAGACTGAATCTTTCAACAGCTGCTTCCATCCATCATCCATTCATCCATCTATTCATCCATCCATCATCCATTCATCCATCTATTCATCCATCCATCAGTCATCCATCCATAAATCCATCAATCCATCCATCCATCATTCATCTGTCCATCCCTCCATTCATCCATCCATCCATCATCCATTCATCCATCTATTCATCCATCCATCAGTCATCCATCCATCCATCAATCATCTGTTCATCCCTCCATTCATCCATCCAGCCATCCATCTGTCCATCCAGTCAGCCATCCATCCATCCATCCAGCCATCCATCAGTCCATCCATCCATCCATCCATCCATCCATCCATCCATCCAT